AAATAAATAAATAAAATCTTTAAAAAAAATAATAATAAAAAAAAATAAAGTTGAAAGTCACTATCAATATTGTCACATTGGATAATTTTTCTGCCTCAGAAAAAAATAGGTAGACAATATAATTCAAAAGAAAATTAAAAATTAAAGTGAGTATGGCCACTTAAATAAAGTCCATTTCTACAAGTTCTTTCCTTCTCTCCAACCACTGTCCTCTCAAGAAGGAATAATCATCTGATTTGCCAGAGTCCAGGACACCATTTGAGCCTTGTTTATTAACAGGCAGGAATTACCATAAATAAAAATATCACGGATTTGGGTATGGCTCCATTCTCTCCCCTCTACTCTGCCAGATGACAATACCTGACCCCCCTGCTATTTCTTTCCATGGCATTTTCTTCTGCTTCTTCCTTTCACGTGTCAGAATCAGTAAGAAGAAGTGGCCAATGTCTTCCTTTTCTCTGTTTCTGGGAGTCTCTCCCCAACAGTGATAGAAGTATGGACTTATCTTTTACTGGTTTTATACCTAAAATCCCACTGCAGAACTTTGGTAAACTGGGCTGGAACATAAGACTTTACCAAAGTTCGAAGGTAGGATTTTAGGTACAAAACCAGTGAAAGATAAATCAGTACCTTATTTCCCATATACCACTGTTTCTTATGTATATATTCCTTGCAGGGAAGATCTGACTGAGCCAGGGCAGCTGAAGGTGTCATGTGGTAGTCAATACAAATTTTACAAAACAGTAGAAATTTCTAAACAGATTTATGAAAACTTCAAACAAGGCTACTAACTGCATCAAAATACACAGATTTATAGCATCATAAAATGTTAGTCTTTCAATATTAATAAATATTCACATATAATGAATTATGTAAGAAAGCATGCAAATACACTTAACTCAAAAATGTGCCAAAAACTAACTGATACATGGATAAAACTAAAAGATGTATTAAATTATCTTTTTTAAAACAGAAGCAGAAAAACAAAATTTAACTCTTGAGAGGCACTACAATGTGGGGGTTCAAAATACAGAATATGGAGCCAGATTGCCTGGATTCAAAACCTAGTTTTATCACTCTGTGACCTCAAGTAAGTCAATTAACTTCTCATGTCTTAGTTTTCTCATCTGTGAAATGTGAATAACAGCACTTACCCCATAAAACAGATAAAATTAATACATGTAAGGGCAATGCCTATAATATAGTATTATAAAGTGTCTACTATAATTTACAGAACCAATAAGAGCATGTCTCAAAATTGAACACTGGGAGACGTCTGGGTGGTGCAGTGAGTTGGGCATCCAACTCTTGGTTTTAGCTCAGGTCCTGATCTCAGGGTCCCAAGACTGAGTGACACATCCAGCTCCTCACTCAGGGCAGAGTCTGCTTGATATTCTCTCTCCCTCTCTCGCTGCCCTTCCCATTCACGCTCTCTCTCTCTCATAAATCTTTAAAAAAAATTGAACACTGCTATTAACACTCAATATAAAGTCAATCAATATTTGATCATTTGCTATGCCCAGCTGTGTGGCAGATGCTGAGGACATAAAAGATGATGATGGTAGTGACAATAACAACTTTTTAAAAACCTCAGGCATTGTCCAGAAGATATTATCTCCTAATCTATTAAACATACCATAAACTTTCATATCTTTTCCATGGCTCTGCTCATGCTGGTGGTTCCTTACCCTAAAGCAGCCTTCCCTACCTTGTTTTCTGACTTAAAACATCCTTTAGGACCCAGCTCAAGATAGCCTTTCTTTTATGCATAACTCAGGTGAAACCTTTTTTTTCTCACGGCACTTCTACTTTTACAACACTTACAAACTTACAGTAAAGACTTTTTTATCTCTGATTTCAGATCTCGTATTTTCATTTATGTCATACGGTTGCCAGCATCCCTTCCAACTCCAAAATGTCCATGGTTATAATTAAATGCTATTTTATGAAAGCTTTCATAAGGGAGGAGGGTGGAAAGGAAGAAGAAAAATATTAATATCCCCTATAGTGTTCAGGGAAGAATTTAAAAGATATGGAACTTGAAGAATGTGTAGAATATAAAAGAATGAGTATATGCAGAATGGGTAGAATTATTCACTAGGTAAAATATGGAATAAAGACAACAAATATTCCAAGCAGGGCAAAATAGCATCAATAAAGGCAGAAAGTATGCAGGAGCAACGTGCGTGCCAATTTTTTAGGAAACTGAGTTGGGAGGGGTAGTAGATGATGAAAGAACTGATATTGTGACATGTTTTAATATCACCTGGGATCCCAGCCAAATCACTTTACTACAATTTCCTTACCTATGAAATTCATCAGGCTGTTCTGGAAAAAAAAAAATCTATAGAATATTTGACATGGTACTGGACACATAGTAAGTGCTGAGAAATAAAAGCAATAATATTTCTTTACTGTCAAATCTGTAAATGTAAAGTGAGACTAGATCATGAAGCATACCAAATAGAAGACTGTGGGTTCTCAATTTCATCCAACAAGCCTACAAAGCCTGTAAGGTTTTATAACAGTGAGATTAAAACAACTACCTAGTAGCAGTGCACAAAAGGAGATCCCAAGTCAAAGAGAGGGTAGCCAGGAAGCAATTTCAACACTAAGGCATATAATAATGAGTGCCTAACCTAGACTGGTAGTGGCGGATAGATGAGAGACAGATACGAGGTCTTTCCAAGGAAGAATGAATAGAGGTTAATGAAAAACTGGCTGAGGGATAAAGAACAAGGACAGGGAAGATTTAAATGCTGACAGCAGGCAATACAGACAGAAAGTTAAGGGGTTTTGAAATCAGAGTGACATGGGTTTAAACCCAGACTTCCACCTGTGAGCTGTGTCCTAGTATCCTGACATCTTTGAACCTTGTATTTGTAAACTGAAGATAATTCTAATTTCACAAGGCTGTTAGGTGTTTAGCACCTGGTGACCACTCAATAAATGATATATGTATTTAATACATGATTTCCTCATGCCTCCATGACCTGTCTCCTTAAACATCCTTGTCCTCTTATTTTTGGCCAATTCTTAATCCTCTTTTAAGAGTCAGCTTAACATCAGCTTCTTGGGAAGCTTTCCACTAAGCAATCTCCAATCTAATTACTTCTATAATAGCATGTTATAACCATGTATTGCAGTTACATTTATCTTATCTGTCTCTTGCCCATCCCCACAATGAACTGTGAGTTCACTGACAGTCGAAGCAGAATCATATTTACTTTGTACCCTCAATATTAGCATAATTAGCACATAGCAGACTCTGTAATTTTTGTTAAACAATTGGAAAAATGTATAAAATATATATATTGAAAAGTTACACTAGCTACTTAAGAAACTTTTCTGCCTAAACTCTTCTCCAAATCAGTATAATCACACTTTAAATTCAGCAAATTTCATTATTTTGCAAGAATATTTTCCTCTCTCATAGATACACTACACTTTCATCACCATGCATCCAATTAGAAGGCAATAGTTTTCAAGCACAGAAATCACAACCCATGATGCAGTCTACTAGAAGTAAGCTTGTGGAGGACAGGGCTATTTCCTGACTGCTGAATTCTCTGCAACTAATTCAAGGCCTGGAACAATGCAAGTTCCCAGCCAACAACATTTAGCAAACAGCACAGGAAGTATAATAAAAATATAATGCACAATTACTAGTCTCTTTCACACCACAAACCAAGAAAGGCTAACCTATTACTTGAAGCTATTCTGCTGACAAAATCCCCAACTACCTAGAAATTACTTAAAATATCAAATACCTACTGGTAGTAATTCGAAAACATCTAAAAATAATCTATGCTGGCTGGTCTCCTTTTAAATTCATGAACACTAACCTCAAAAGTAGGCCCTGAGTACTGGCCAGCGTTCCTACATTTCCGGAGTTCATTTATTCTCCCACTGTCCTAGATCACCATTTCGTATCTCCTCTCTCCTCTAATTTTCGCATCTCCTTCCTCACTCTCTCACAGCTAATGAACTAGCTTTCTATTTCCTTCTATCCTGTTACAAAGGATGAGTGGTTATCAACAGGGGGTTTAATGAACAGCCCAACCCCCATCCTGGAGGAATAGCTCCTAAATATCTCCAACCTCCTACCAATCTTGAAGTGCACCTTGAACCACACCTTTGGAGATCTCTCATGGCTTTAAATATCATTTACACAGTAACAATTCCCACATTTATATCTTCAGCCCAGACTTCTCTTCTGAACTCCAGTTTCATAGATACTATGCAATATTGACATTTCATTTGAAAATTCAGCATGTGCAAACAGAAAATGATTTCAGACCTTCCTCGCTCATCTCCCTATTATTCTGTGGTCTTCCCCAAATCACAAAGTGGTAACTGCTCTCTAGTTGCTAAGCCATAAATCTTGGAGTCATCCTTGACCCTTCATACCTACTGCTTTAGCTTAGACACAAGTTCAGAATCTGGCCATTTCTCACCATCATCACTATTATCACACTGATCCATGTCACCTTGACCTTTAACCTGGATAAATGGCCTACTAAGGGGTCTCATTATTTCTGCCCTTGCTAGAGACAAACAACATAGCAATCAGAAAGATCCTTTTAAACACAAGTCAGATCAGTTTACTCCTTTACTCAAACCCTACTATCTCATTCAAAGTAAAAACTAAAGTCCTTACAAAGTCCTATAAGGCTGTATATGACCCGCCGCATTCTAACCTGATTAGCTACTTCTCCCCCTTTTTGCTCACTCAGCTCCAGCCAAACTAGCTGGTATGCTCCTATCTCAGGGACTTTGTGATAGGTCTAATGGCTCATTCCACTACATCCACATGAAATCCTTCTTTATCACTTTCAGTTCTCTACTCAAATATCATCTTTTCTAAAGCCACCACTGCAATTTCCTATGCAGGCCACTGACATTCCTTGTTACCCTTCACGACTTTATTCTTTCTCTCTAGCACTTTTCACCACCTGACATATTTTTAAATTAATTTTTTAAATTAATTTTTTTTTTAAGATTTTATTTATTCATTTGACAGAAAGAGACACAGCGAGAGAGGGAACACAAGCAGGGGGAGTGAGAGAGGGAGAAGCAGGCTTCCCACTGAGCAGGGAGCCCGAGGCAGGGCTCGATTCCAGGACCCTGGGATCATGACCTGAGCCACCCAGGCGCCCCTTAATTAATTTTTACATTAATGTCTTCCCCTCCCACCCTCAAAGTGAACTATATGATGGCAAGAATTTTTATTGTTTTGTTCACTGTTTATTTTTATATTTACTTTTTGTTCAGTGCCTGGCACATAACAGGCACTCAGTATTTGTTAAATTAATAAAGCAAACCTACACTTGAGTATGTACATTATTCTAAATAGTCATAGTCATATAGTATCATTCTGCTCATTTCCCCCAATTTTTTGTTGTTTTTTTTTAAAGATTTTATTTATTTATTTGAGAGAGAGAGAATGAGAGAGCAAGCACATGAGAGGGGGGGAGGGTCAGAGGGAGAAGCAGACTCCCTGCCGAGCAGGGAGCCCGATGCGGGACTCGATCCGGGGACTCCAGGATCATGACCTGAGCCGAAGGTAGTCGCTTAACCAACTGAGCCACCCGGGCGCCCCTCATTTCCCCCAGTTTTAACCAGCATATCTTTGAAGATCAGGGCACATACTCAAAGCTAGCATAAAACTATAAAATTCCCCTCAACTACTACCCTCAGCCCAATATCTTTAACTTTCAAATTTAAAATTCAACCAACAAATCCATGTATGGAAATCACAAACAATTAAGTTCAAATCCAAGTACCCGAGCTCAAAAGACTCTGAGATTTATCACGTGGATTCTGGAAGGCCTTGGAAGTTCAGAGATGTCTGATAGTCTCTTGAGTTCTGATTGTTGCTGAAGACATGCTGTGCCTCACCACCCCTGAGGAAAATCTAGAACCAATCCAATTTCCCTACGTTCCTCCAGTTTCAGGTATGATTTGAAAATAATTCAAAGTATAAAGGATGTGAAAGTTCTTTGCCAACAAAAAATGACTTCATTAGCACTAAATATTATTATTAAAATTAGAATGAATGCCGTTGAGAAAAGAAATTGGAGGAAACACCCACTAAATTCGGACAGAATCGAACTGCCTGTGAAATAATTACAATTTAAGTAACTGTTCCACGAAAAATGCACGTCTTGAACTAAACTCTAGAGCCTGCGATAAGACGCTAGGCTTCCTACTTTAATAAGGAACTGACATATTCCCGGAGAGAGATCACACAGGCTACACCCTCCGGCCTGCCCAAGGTCCTCGGGGGCGGCGCCTGGCCAACCCCACCTCCCCCGGAGGAACCACCTCCACCCGCCACCGCCGCCCGGGGGAGCGCTCCTCCAGCCGGCTACTCGCCCCTCCCTCTTACCACACCTACCTGGCACCTCCCCAACCCTTCTCCTCCAAGCATTTCCCCACACTACGAAAACGGGGAGACGGAGACACACACACACATACACAGTCACACACACCCTACCAGAAACGCCAGCTCCTTCTCCGGCTTCCCGCACCCGTGAAGACGCTCGGATCCCGGGCTCTGGCAGGGCGGCGGCGCAGGGTGCTTGACCCACTGTCCCGCAGAGCCGCGCGAGCCCGGAGTCCCGAGAGCCCGCGCAGCCGCAGAAGGCAGCGGCGCGGAGGTCGGAGCCGAGCCCCGCTGCACTTCCGCCCTCCGGTATCCTGCCAATACAACCCGCAGCGCCGCGGGGCCTTGGAAGCCCACAGCAAGTCCAGTCACCCTCGGCGCCCGGAGATGACGTCACGGGAACCCACGTGGCCCGCACTCCACCCTCTGCTTTCCGCCCAACCCCGCGAGGAGGCCTGAGCCGCGCTGGAGCATGCGCAGACAGAGCGGAGCGCTTGAACAGGGGTCAAACCACTGGCAAGTTTACAGCTAATACCCTGTTAGAGGAGTCTCGCGCCTTTGGCATTGTCGTTGGTGTTCGGGGAGGCTAATGTAAGTTCTGTCAGAGTAGAGAGTTTTTAAAAATACTGAGACGCTGCCCCATAGAGCTTGACCGCAGCCTCGCTTGCCTGGCTTCACAGAATCATATTAATAAAATGTTGGTTTTCAAAGTGTTTTCTTTTCTCATTTGATCTTCTCAACTTTGTCAGACCCACAGCAGGGATTAATAGCCGTATTTAACAGAAGACGACTACCCATGAGTAGTGAAGCCCTCTCATCCAACCAATAGGGCATACCTTTATGTTTGTGAAAATAAGAGCAATTAAAAAACTTACTCCTAAAGAGTGTTTGAATTTGATCTATCCATAAGTCTTAGCTGGGCATTTAACATCTTTCTCTTAATTATGCATGACATACAACATTAATTCCATACATGCCAGGTAAATACTGTGCGGAGACTCAAAATAGGTTCCTGATCATTGGAAAATTTAGATAAATCCTAGTAGTAGCTACAGGATTCTCTTAAAAAGATGAATCTTCTTGGAGATCGACTAGTCCAATGATTTTCAAATGATGAGTCACAACCCATTGGTGGCTCATCAAATCAAGTTAATGGATCATGACTGTCTTTTTTTTTAATGAAATAAAGTAAAAAATATTGGCATCCTTCACACGTTAAGGGTAAATATTGTTTCCTGAAATTTCTACTTCAGAATGTATGTGGATAGGAATGTGAAATACATTTCTTGGTATAAATAGCAGTCCAAAAAGTTTGAAAGCCATAGTCTGGTCCACTCCACCTACTCAGTATCCCCAATAGTCGGCCATTAGCCTCTGTAAAAAAGCTCTTGGAATTAAGATGCCCCACTGTAGGAACCAGACTAACATCCTCTTGGACGAATTGGCCATGATGACCACTCTGTGACTTGAAGCCTTCTTGAGCACATCCTCCACACATACATTCTTTCTTTTTGTTTAACCATACTATATTCCCCAGCCTCTAGGGTTATAAAAGCAGGTCTTACAAGAGGTGAGGTCTTGTAGCCACCCAAGACACGCTTCTGCCAGTAAGTCCCCTTAATAAATCATTTCTCATCAAGCTGGACTTACGGCCTTTTTCTTTGGGCTTATGACTCCTTAAGCCTTTGGAGGTCATTTGCCTATACCTCCCTTTCACAGAACACCTACCTTCCCCATGGTAGCCAAAACTACATGGAATTTACTTGGAAATACATCCAAAATGTTAGGTGGTTTTATGGGTGGATAGAGGAATGGGTAGATAGATAAATATGTGAAAATGCATAAAATGTAAATAATAGAATCTAGGTGGTAAGTATACAGGCATTCACTATAGGATTCTTTCAACTTTGCTATATGTTTGAAAAATAAAATAATAATAAAATGTCGGAGGAAAACTATGGAGAACCTAATAGGAAGAAAGTTATTACATCAAGCTAAAATCCAGCTTCCTGTAACTTTTAAGAATTGACCCTATTTTCTTCCTTTCTCCCCTTGTCCGTTCCCAACCTTGTGACTACAATGTACAATAGAAATATCTAACCCCTATTCTAATAGACGGCACTTCAGATATGAAAAAATAGCTCTCATGCTCCATAACTCACTTGGGGCTAACGACTGTCAGTTCTTTCAGCCAATCTTCACATGACATACCTCTCCTCTGGATATGGTCCAGTTATCAGTGTCCCTATTAAATAGTTGTACTCTTTCCCATCTCATGATTATGTTCCTTGAGCAAAAATTTGGAAATAAGAGGGATTCTATATTTGTTCTCTGTCATTTCCATTTGTCAAGATTATGTCTTATCTCTCAGTGGCACTATATCTTTCAAATTGTTGTTCTATGAAGATAACTTTTAAAGAGGTCTTTTTGACCTTACCATTTCCCCCAAGACTCAACTCATTCCGGGTTACTCTCAGGCAGCCATTTGAATTATGTGAACTTGCACATAAAGTCCTCTAAAATTCTGGATTCAAAGGAGAGACTCCAGACAAGTCTCTGATAATAACATGCTTTCTTTTCTTCTCATCATTAATAGTCTGCACTTGTAAAGCCAGGGTTTTATTTTTGCATGTCTCACAACTTGTAAGACTCAAAGCTGTGGGATCACAACTTTCTTTGCTCTAAATTTACTTAACTTTGCTTTCCTAAACTCTAAGATGTCTCTACTATCCCCATGAACTCTAACATGACATTACTTCCTGACCCAAAGGTCCCATCTACTGACTTCTGTCTCCAACCTGCTAGTTTCAGAGGATAAATTAGTTAAGCCAAATATAATTCTTCCACTTCAGCTCTGACTGTGCTCCAACCATGTAACCTGTCTCCCCAAATGCCCTCACTTCTGGTTTCTTTCTTCAGTCAATGGACATACTCAAGTGTGCTCTCATCCTATTAAAGTCCGTCATCACTCTTTACTTAAACTATTAGGATAGCCTCCTAACTGGTCTCCCTGACTCCAGCCTTGCTCCATCTATATTTGACCTTGATTTCAACCAGAGTGGATTATAGTCACCCCCACTTATCAACAGAGGATACGTTCCAAGACTCCCCACTGTGGATGCCTGAAACCACAGATAGTACCAAACCCATATATACGCTATATTTTTTCCTACACGTACATACCTATGATAAAATTTCATTTACAAATTAGGCACAGTGAGAGATTAATAACAATAACTAATAATAAAATAGAACAATTATAACAATATACTATAATAAAAGTTTTGTGAATGTGGTCTCTCTCAAAATATTGTAGTGCACTCACCCATCTGGTAAGGATGTGAAATGATAGAATGCCCACATGATGCGTTGAAGTGAGGTGAATGACACAGGCAATGTCCTGTAATATTAGGACATGTTGACCTTCTTCTGACAATATATCGGAAGGAGAATCATCTGCTTCCAGACCTGAACTGACCACTGGTAACTGAAACTGCAAAAAGTGAAACCATGGATAAGGGAGCACTACCTTATGCATGCACTCTAACCATGTCACTCTGATACTTAGAACCTTTTGGTGATTCCTTCTGGGCAAATTCCTAGTTTCTTTGCGTGATCAATTGGTTCTTTCCCTCCTTTCCCAGTTCTCCTTGTTTTGCACTTCAAACTCTAATAGCGTCAAACACTTTGCAGTTCTGTGCACCCAGGCTATGTCAGGCTCTGTGCTCTTGATCCCTCTGTCCTGCTGCCTGAAATGCTATCCTTCACCAGACACTTCTTCCCTAAAACATTATCCCCCATGTCCCTTCTTCCCCATTTGGCATACGCCACTCATCACCCAAGATTTAGTTCAGGTGTTAGAAAGTTTTCCCAGATCCACCCAATTTGTGTTAGGTGCTCCTCATAGTTTCCTCAGTCTTTTTTTGAATCCTCAGTGCCAGCACAATGCTGGGCATTCAGTAAATGTGTGTTGAAATAAACTAAGCTGAACATGAGTTTTCTTCCATGATTCCTATCACTCTCACCTTAGGAACTAAATTCTTCCTCATAGCTTGGAGTTTAAGCAGAGAGCAATGATTTCTGTTATTACTTTACCAATTTCAAAATTAACAGCAATGAAAGTTGAAAGTGATCAAGGTAAACAGTAAGGGTCTCTACCACTACTGCATCCTATCTCCGGGCCTGTTTGCCGATCTGTGTGGGGAACGTGTCATTGCTGCATGCTCTCTAGTATATCCCCAGAACACAGCCATATTTCTGTTCTTCTGTTCTACTCAAATGACTCCTCTCAAAGGATGCTAGAATGAAAACTCCTAGAAAGCAGGAATGAATTCTTACATGTGAAAGGCTGCAAACCAGAGTTCCAGAGGCTGGAACTGGATGACTGGGATGATGCTGGAATGTACTCTCACCTACTTTGGCATACACACCATAACAGTATGCATGTGCTAAGTTAAGCTTCAATTCTAATTGCCCAAACTGAGAATTCCATGCTCCAAAGGTGGTCAGGTACCAATATCAGAAAGATCATACTCCAGGAGCAGCTGTCACAAGGATGTCTGTTATCACTGTGTTGATCCACACCACATGGTTTGATAGCATAGTGAATGTCAGAGATGGGTTTTTATTTTTGACTTGCTCAAAAGTATGATAAGTGTTAGAAATTTAGAAATGGGATCTCATTTATGAAATTAGCAGTACTTAAGATAGGTAGAATGACTAAAATATTTTAGAGATTCTTGCCAGTCTTGCATGAACAGAGTGTAGAAATCCATGAAGCCTGCAGCTTGATCCCTAACTTTTCTTATGCCTTTATAAAAGTTCTAGAATTCAGCCTCTGGAATGGTGTATCATACCTGCCTTAAGAGAACATTTCTTGCAAGGAGATATGAGAGCATCTTTAAAGGGCAGAGAGTTGCGGTATCATCAATCTTATAGAGAAGGTTATATGAACTGTTTTGTTTAATAAATGTCTGCATGTACATAGGAATTTGGTCTACGACTGGCTTCCATTATAATCTCACATCTGGATTATGGGAAAGTAATTAATCCTTATCCATCTCAGTTTCTTTAGTGGCTACGGTTATCTATGGAAAAAACCTAAGACTTATACATGATCAAATTAGTCTTGGTCAGTTAACAAGAGTGGCAGATATATTCTCTTTGTCCCTTAAAATATTTTTAAAACTTAAAAAAATTTAATGGTAACAGTTTTCACAAAGCAATTTGGATTTCTGGAATCTGATAATTGCTTGAAAAGTTGGGAGATATATATATATATATATATATGTTGATCCACACCACATGGTTTGATAGCAAAGTGAATGCCAGAGATGGGTTTTTATTTTTGATATATATACATATATATATGTATATATACA